AATCTTATTCTGGATCTGCCCATACACATCATTGAACAGCTCCTCCTTTGATTTCGTCCCATCCAAATGCACTTAAAGAAGTAAAATAAGAGCTATAACAGAATGTCTCTGTAAGCTTGCCAGATCCTAATTTAAAAAGCATGTACCTAGCTGGTATCAGAGAAATATACTCCCTCCACCTGCTTCATTCACCTCCTCTCATGCATCTAACCAGTATGTATTGCACAGGTTTGAAAAGCAATCTCATAAAGTGCTTTTGTCATTAAAGACTTACCCACATCAACTCCAAGTTCTTCCATTATCTTCCTGTGCTTTACATACATAGGCCAAACGTGGCCATCAAACAATCCAGGTGGATCAGGTACAGTGTAATTCCTTGAACTGTAATTTAAGGCATTGTTACTCATAAATAGTCTAGTAACAGGTCAGGAAAATGACAGATCCTTCATTGGGTTTCTCTACACATTAGCCTAAACCCCTTGACTCTAGTTTGGTTTCTGAGCTTATCAAAATTTAGTAGTTAGCAAGAGCTGCAAGCATCAAGTTATGTAAATAAATTCAAATTTGATGTACAGGTCCTAAGTGTTTAAAATGCAAAAGGAGTTCTTAAGACAGACTGATCTAAATATAGATGAATAAATTCTTAAAAGGTTTAGCAGAACTTTGGGTAAAATAACTGTCTGCTTATTCCTCTTGAAATGTAATTCAAGTTTTCATTTGCAGTAAGAACAGTTTATGTGTGCAACAACACAGCCAAATGTAAAACTTCAGGTAGACTGAGACGGGAGAAAGCCTAGTGAAAAGTCTGTGCAGAAACTGAGCATTACATTCACAACACAGTAGCTTGGTGGGAAGTTTTAAGTCAGTTTGGTGAAGGAAGCTACAGTTTTCTAACTCAGCAGCTACATTTGCCTTTATCGCTTCTCACCTAAAAGCAAACTTACCTTCTTCTCCTTTTACACTCTTCATATGGAATGGAAAGAAAGTACCGATGGTGGAACACATCAATCAGTGGCCTGAAAGAGACATCTGTTTGGTTACACCTCAAGTAATTAGTAGCAAAACCCAGAAAAGTAAAACTATATCCATTTCCTGTACTTAGAGCGATCTTTAGATTTATGACATCTACATTTGGCAGATGCCAGCTGCTAACTCTTGGTTTAGAACATTTTTATTCCCTTGGAGGTTTGCCCATTACATAAAATAATGTAAAAATCAAAATGTATGAAGGCACAATTGACTACCTGTAGGTGTAAAGTAGGAAGCCTTCAACAATAAGAATGTGGATTGTTTCATCTCCTCCTTCCTTATCTTCCAAGATCTGAGCATCCAATGTGTTGTTGATCCCGTGAGAACGTTCAAACTTGACAGGGTTTTTTATCCAAGCATTTATGGTACTCATCATAGCTTCCATATCTAGTGCACTAATCACTAAGGCAAAACAGACAACTATCATTAAGCAGTAATTAAATACCATCTAGTGATACAGTCACTACACAACAGTGCACATAAAGAATCAAAATACTCAGAAGTTTTTGAGTTATGCTTTGATAACACTAGGAAAGGCTTACCATCATACTGTTTAAACCCATCTTCAACTTCTATTTCATCTTGAGGCTGAAACAGTGACAAGAAAAAAAAAAAACAAGCCAGTTTGTTACTGAGAAACTCAATACCCATTTTAAAGCAAGATTCAAGATCCAAACCCTGAAGCTACAAAGGGAAACTTTAACCCTCCACCAGGTTCCTCTGCATGCAGATAAAACCAGCAGTACGAGGCTCAGATAAAGCCGCCTGCTCCTCTATCTTCCCACGGACACGAGCCCAGCGCTGCGCGGAAAGCCATGGGGACCCGCTCTAGCTCAGGCTTATCCGGGCCCGCACGGCCCCGCCAGGCAGCGCAGGAGCCGCGGGCAGGGCGGCGCAGGGCGGGCAGCGCGCCAGCGGCGCGGGCGGAAGCCCGCGGGGGTCACCCCTCGCCCTCCCGCGGCCTGCAGGGACCGGCGGGCCCGCTCACCTTGAAGAAGTCGTCCTGGTGCACCACGCTGCAGTTGGGCAGGGCCCGCATCAGCCGGCGGGTTAGGGTGGTCTTGCCGCCGTTGGTGACCCTGCGGCGAGAGCACGGCCGTCAGGAAGCGCCACGTGGGGGCCGCATCCACCCCCCACCCCCACTGCGGCACCGGGAGGGGCCGGGATAAGAGACCCGTGCCCGTCCCGCACCCCGAGCCGCTTTCCCCGCCCGGTCCCGGCTCTCACCCGCCGATGCCGATGATGATGTTCATGGCGCGTCCGGCGGCCGCCCGGCCCGACTCCTACTGCCTGTTTCTGAGGGGCGGGGGGGACCCGGTGTCTCCGGTACCGGCCGTCAACGTGCCTGAGCCGGGACCCGGGCAGGGGGAAGGAAGGGGCCGGAGAAAGAGGAGAAGGTGGAGAGGGGAGAAGCCAAACGTCAACTGCTGGGCAGCGCCATGGTCGCTCAGAGCAGCAGCAGGGCCGGTCCGCGCCGCGCCGCGCGCTCCGCAAAGGGGGGCGGTGTCCGCGCGCGCGCGCCTTCCCCTTGCCCTCCGCCGCGCCCATTGGGCGGCCGCCTCGGCCGCGCAGCCAATAGGAAGCGGCGTGACGCGAACGGCTCACGGCGATTGGCTGGGGCGCGCTCACTCTCTCCCGGCCGTGTTACAGCGCGGCCGCTAGGGGGCGCTCGACAGCCTCCGCGCCGGGGAAGGGCGGAGGCGGAATGGTGAGGGCTTGGCGCCCCCTGACGGTTCTGGCGGCGCAGCGCAGGGCCGGGCCGCGCACTCCCCTCCCGCGAGGGCGGAGCCGCGGCAGTGTCGGGCGCTCGGGCTTGCCGGCGGCTCGGCTGGGCCCCTCTCCGGACACCGGCCCGGTTCTGCGGTGATGAGCTACGCTGGGGCCGTGGCTCCCCGTGAGGGCGCGCCAGGCTCCCGAGGGAGCGGCGGGGCGGGAAGGCCGCGAGCGCCGGGGTGAGCGGGGCGCCCCCTGGCGCCGTGGCGGGCGCGGCAGCCCCGCGAGCATCGCTGCGGTCAAGGGCACGGCGTGTCCTCGGGCCGGGCCGCAGCCCCGGGGGACCGAGGAAAATGACCGGGAAATCGACACGGAGGGATTCTCTCCTGTAGCCCTCTCTAAATGAGGGCAATTCCTGCTTTTCCTGCTTCCCTTACATGCTTTTCCTTGGCCGTCATGTTTGCTCCTCGGCTGTGCCTGAGGAACTTTACCTTTTCTTGTTTTTTTTCCCTTCTGTAAAGAAGAGAAATTTATCATCATAGCCTTTTTTTTAGTAGCATTAAATTTCATCATTGACAAGTCACTTAATCCATTCAATATGTTTACGTTGTGGGGGGTGGGTGTGTTGCCAACCATTTGCTTGCTTTTCATTATTTTTACTGACTTTTCTGGTAAGACTGCAGTTGCTTTATTAAAACCTTAGCTGATTTCTTTTGCAGTTGTTTTTCACTTCCAAACAGAACACGTAATTTGGTCTCTTGGCTTTTCTTCTTATTTGAAGGGAAATGGACACAGTTGAAAATAAATTTTGTTTTCAAGATCAAGGTCATTTAGCGAATTTTCACTTTAAAATAGAGGAGCTGCCTTTGTGGTTTGGGGGGTTTAATGTGTGAAGGGGTTTTTCTTGTTTTGTTGGTGGTGATGGTGGGTTTTGGTTTGGTTTGGGGTTTTTTGGTTGATTGGTTGGTTAGGTTTTGAAGAGTTATTTTTTAAATGTATTTGTCTACTTAGCTTTGGGAAGAAGAATGTCCTCATAGACTACACCCCAATTTCTTAGGTTAAAAATGCTACACACCCTAGGTAAAACCTTTTTCTCAGCTTTCTGTGAAGCTCCAGGATGGTAAACCAATATATACATTTATGATACATAGTAGCATTATTATATAGTTAGAGGAATGCATCCCTGTAATCTGTACATACACTGGTAAGACCAGGATGCTACTTGCAAACAGCTAAGTTCACTTTACAGCAGATTTTAGCTGTTCAGCCCCAAGATTCTTCCAAAGTCTTAGTAATTGTTTTGTACTCTTTATCTTTTACCAGGCAAGATGCACTCTCCAAGTTTCATCTCAAAACTAATAAAAGTTTTGCTGTCTTTTGCCACACCTTGTCATTCAAATATGCAAACCTACAACTGTTTGAGGATTTTAGCATTATGTCAAATAAGCAAAGGAGGGATAAAGAACAAATTAAAAGCATGATGGTTTTTAGAAAGGCTGAAATGCACTGCTCCTTGCATGAACTTGGTATTGACAGAGCTGGAATGAAAATGACAAGTGGGCCCAGCTGTAATCCGAGTTTAATGCTGAATTGGGGCAGGGGGATGGCGGCCTGTGACAATACTCACTAACTGTACCCTCATTGTCCTGCACTAGCAGCTTGAGGCAAGGATTCTGTATGATCTGACCTTGAGTCTAAAGGCCAGTTGGGAAGAATAAATATGTTTAGTGATGTTATTTATCAACATTACTATGTCTCCCTTCTCTATGAAAAGATTCAGGTTTTTGGTTCTCTTGGTTTGATTCAGGCCAATATTTTTAGTTGATATTTCATAAGTAAAACACACAAAGACTTTGAATACTTTTTAATACACAGCAGTGGTAGGAGAAATTGATGGTTACACTCAGGGAAGTTTGTCTCAACATTCCCAAAGCTCTGGGGCACTTTAAGGCCCTGGGCTCCAGCAGGGCTGTGCATCCTGCCAGCACATCCAGCATCCGTGTCTGCGCGTGCTAGCCATTCCCAGGCCCTTTGTCTCCTCGCCCCGATGATACTGCTGCCATGGTGAAAAACAGAGAGAAAGAACAACAGGATATTGTCCTGTTCTGCTCTGCGTGCCAACTGTGACAAAATGTTGTTTTCTCCTCGGTTCGGGGATTCTTGTTGGCTTGCACTTGTCTTGGGTGAGCCTGAAAATGTTAAGATGTTTCTAAAATTCTTCTAGTTAGTGTGGAGACCTTGAGTCTCAGGGAGCAAGGTGGTGTCCCATGCCCGGGCACAAACATTCCTGTCCTGGGGGATGATTCTCTGAGTCATGCAGAGGAAAAGAAGCGTTCTGATGTAAAAGATAACAGGAAGGCGTTCAGCACGCTGTGTGCCAGCAGGACACCTGCAGAGCTGCCGCAGGGGTGGAAGTGAGCCACAGGCTGCATGGGGAGTGCTGAGAAAACTGCACGGCTGCACAAATCTGACGCCAAAGCAGGGCTCTATTTTTGGTCTCCGCTCTGCGTTTCTGACACCTGTAGGGACGCGTGAAGCGCACAGGAGACTTGTGCAGCACCTCCCGGAGCGGAGGAGCCGCCGCAGGGCATGGGAGCGCAGCGGAGCATTCCTGCTTAGCCAACAGGACTAATTATAACCCAGGAATATGAACTGTAAATGTGCTGAAGCTGCCAAGACGGGAGCTGGGTGTGTGCCAGAGCTTGAATGAGGACACACCATCCTGCGAGGACTCTCCGGGAGCAGCAGCAGCAGCAGCGAGGTACGCGCGGAGCCGCACGGAGGGAGATGGACACGGGGGGACTGCAGGAGGACGGTAGGCGTTCAGCTCTGCCTTTGGGATGGCCACGGTGCCGTGTCAGCCAGCCTGCTTTCCTATTAGGTGATCTCTGTGCCCTGACACACTTGGGAAAATCTTAGCTTTGATGTGGTCTCATTAACATGTAACAAACCCAAAATATCTGCGGCTAATGGGAAGTGCTGGCAAAAGCTTTGACTTCTGCGTGTTTTCGTGGTTGTGTGTACCACTGTCCCTTTTGGTGGTGATAAAGACCACAGTGAGGGCATAAGGTGAAAAATTATAATTGAAGCAGAAAAGGAGTTGTATTAAAACCACCTAGGACAAACTGAAATAATGGAAGATGTTCTGCAGAAATATATTATATAGACTACTTAAAACAAAGAGGCAGACGTAACAAATGATTTGAAAGACAAATCACAGAAATGTAAGAAATCTGCTTGAAGAGAAATGTTAGAAAACCACAACGGTGAAAGAAATAGATGTGCTACTTACATAATTGTGGGACTCCAGAAAAAATGCCTATGAAGGAGGAAGCTTATATTGGTTTGTTATGAAAGCTTTAGCAGGGATTCAGAAAGACTGAATTGATGAAACTATACTGTTTAAATTCAGTTAAGCTGTAAACTTAAAAAAAAAAAAAAAACTTTTTAAAATGAACATGTGATATTGTTTTAATGATCTGGGGTATGAAAAAGTTGATAGCAAAGGCTACTCTATAATTCAGGGTTTGCTTTGAAGGAAGATACATCTAAAAAAAAAGTCAGTAAACTGCTAAAAGTTGGGCTGTCTCCTGGTGTCACAGTACTTAGAGTCAGTGAGTTTCCTGGTTGTGTCTCCAGTTCAGGATTGCTATGTTAATATTTTTATACATTCTGGGAAGCTCTAGGCTCTGATGAATGGTTTCTCTTGCTGGTATGCAAGGCTCTTCTTTTCTCTTGTAAGGGCTATTTGGAGTTGTAGAAAGTTCCTTGCTTTGAGCTTTTCCCTAGCTAAGTAGAGTAACTGTATCATATGTAAGGCCTTAGTTTGTAAACGTTGACAGGCCAATCTCTTCAAAGCTGGTTTCTCACAAAACAATAAATAATTCATAAGTATTGGTTAGCTTTGCTTACAACCAGATCACAGACTGTTAAACGAGACTTGACTTAATTCTAGCATTGTTTTTATTACATTTCTATGAAGAACTTCCAAAACTCCTGTGAGTAAATACTCAGAGTTCTTAACCATGATTTCTGACATGAACATAGCAATTTTAAATTGATGCTTCTCTCCTCTACAGGTATGTTTAAGAATGTAACAGTCTTGGTTTACTCTTAGGAACTGCCTATTGCTCAATAACTGTTACAAAACTTTGATGTATTTTAACATAACTTTGAATATTAATCTCTTTGCAGGTATATTTATCAGATACATTCTGTGATCTCTACCAGTGAACCTGCACAAGCAATTCCTTTCTAAGCTCACTCTTCTTGGTCTTTGTACTGCTCAAACTCCCAGAGAATTACACTTAACAAGACCATATTACCTACTGAGAAATATAATGACTGAATTCCTGGTTTGTTTTAATTGGTGCAATGGTGAACAGCCCCCACCGGTAGGTAGATGCACAACTGCCACCCTTTATCAGATTTGAAATTTTGTCTTCCATTAACATGGGCAAGGCTTTCATTATCCTGTTGTTTTGATTAGTTTGTGTAAAGTTAAAAAAGCTAAAACCAGTCCTATTAAGCTGTGTTTGAACTGTGTGTTCTTTGCCAGAAACTTAGACAGTATGACTGTTTGCAGTTCTCAGGCCCTGATTCCCAACAGTAAAGAAAGCTTTTTGCTAGAATTCAATTAGCAGTAATAAAAGTGACTTTCATTGTGTCTTACTGCAAACAGCCTGAAACTTCAGCCCTCTTGCTATGAGGTGTCATTAGGGGTCAGTCGTGGCTATCTATTTTTATCTTGGCTACTTGTTGCTGGCTGAAAGCTGCAGATGTTTTCTAAATAGAGACCTAAGATATCTTTTTTTCTCACAGAAGAGGCGTCGGAGGCTGGACCGGAATATGATTGGAGAGCCAATGAACTTTGTACACACCGCACACGTCGGGGCTGGAGAGATGAGTAGTGACTATTCCTCAGTAAGTGTGCACCTCTGGGAAAGGCACAGATCCCCCTCAGTAACCTGTAGAGAAGGTAGCTAATGAAATACTAGAAAATTGTAAAAGAGAGAAAAATGTTGAGGGTGTTGGTTTTTTTTTTAATCAATAGAGTAGCATCAGAACAAAACTGTCTTTTGGTTTGTAAACACGAGATACTGTGGGAGATACTCTGAGCAGGAAGTGCTCATTTCCTCAGTATCTTTACACGTGATGAGAACCTTTTGGATATAGATTCTATGGATGTACTTCATACTAGAACCAAATCACCTTGAAGTCAAAGCTGTGCCAGGGTTAGGGATGTAAGAATAAGTGGATTTTGCATAGCAAAATGCATCTCAAACACTGGCTTAAATACTATATAACAGTCCTGGATTTAGTTATTATTTCTCCCTACTACACTTAGGACTCAGCACTGTAAACATATGGCCCACCTGCCCTTTCAAATTGATGCCTTTAATAATTGCTCTAGAAACCAGAATTTTTAAGATGTGTGTTCTAATAAACTTTTTTTCCTAGGCTATGTCAATTCAGGACCACATGAAGTCTAAAGGTGGCTATACAAATGGCACTTCTGCAACTGTTGAAATATAGGTAACTGAGAGAAGGCTGAAATCTGCTGTCTTATGAGGACCCCCTGGACTGTGCTTTCATATTTTCTAAAACCTTGTTATCATGGAGTAGGGAGAGTACCTGAACTTAAAATGGGTCAGTAGAAGCTTTGGTGTTCTTTGCACAATATCTTCTGAAGGAGTTATTGTAAATTATCCTTAAAATGGTCTGTCATGGTAGTGTTGTAGTAGCAACTGTAATTTGTCACTAAGGATGACTTCCTACCTCTATCCCAGAAGCCTCTCAAAGCTGTCATATAAGATGGGATTGGAAGTCAGGACGAATTGTCTGGGATTTTGGCATCTGTCTTTTTCTCCTCTCAGGAAATGCAGAGGGTATTTAATTGGAAGGTATTGCATGATTTCACTTCTTACATGGGCTAAACTGAGTTGCTAAGTGTGACCTTGTAGCTGTCAGATAACTTTGGACCTGTTTTTTAGATTCTTTACAACCTAATGCATAAATCTTTGGTATTTTTAATGCCTTTTGATAGTGAATGAACTCTAATATAGGATAGTTAGCTGAGTCTGCAAAACACAGTGAAACTTCTGCCTTGCCAAGATAACACTTTTCTATCTAAAAATGGAGCTTTTGCAAACGTTCTGACTCTCAAATGAGGCTTAGAACAAGAGATATGTCCCTCAGTGACTGGGCTGCCTCCCACCCATGCACACACACTGCTGTGACTGGCAGCTATTACTGCAACACAGCTAATTGTACCCACCAGTTAACTTCCAGTGGTGCTACTATATGCTTACAACTGTGTGTTAGTTTTGCATGACTACCATTGAATTTTAAACTAAACATATTTAAGATCCCTCTCTTTGTTACCTCTCTGTAATAGTAACCACACAGGACTTCAAGGGATATTTTCCTTGTCTTCTGGCTCCTTAATTTCAAGACTGTTTTATATGAAATTAATCTTTTCTTGCATGTGGTGTAAGTGATACAGCCATGTGAAGGACACACATATAAAGAATATTGTGAAAAGGTGCAGAAGAGTATTAAATGGAAACAGCATTTTGCAGAGTTCCAGCACTTCATAAATATTTAAATAAATATCCATAAATATTTAGACATATTCAAAGTACAGTTTATTACTTACTTCTTATTCATCTTTCTATTAAGTGACATGACAAAACTGCTGAAGCAGAACTAAGTTTTTCTCTTACCCAATCACTGACAATTGTTCCTCAGCTCAAAATTCTGCATGACTATCACTGTAGAAACAGGAAATCTGCTTGCTCTCATGGGATGAACTAATTACAAGTGTTTAAATTGTTGCCATATCAGCACAAGTTATGCTGGAGGTCAGCAAACTCTGTCCTTGCTCTAGGCAGCAGATCAGTTATGAACATTTTTCCATTTAAAAAAATTTATAGCTGGCAAAGCTTTTAACTTGTATGATTCTGTTTGTAGTGGTGATACTTCTTAAATCTAGGCTGCTGGGCTTTGCTGAATTGTTAGTCTGTCTTTTCTGAGTATACTAGGGAACTTAAAAAATGAATGGTAGCTCTGTGTTTCTGTATGTTCAAAAATATAGCTTTTCCCCTCCTGCATATTTTATCTTTTAGGTCCAAAAAGGAAGAGGGAGTATTGCTTTTTGTAACAGTCAACAGCTGATCATAACATTCTGTAACTACATAAGACAAAACTAATGTCCATATCTTGCTACATCCTTACTCTTGGATTAGAATGCACACCAAATTTTAATGTATTTTAAAATTAGTGTGGTTAACTATACATTTAGCTTTTACAAGTCTTTTATGTTTCTGTCTTCTAATTTGAGATACACTCTAACAGCCTAGTATTAACAGTATGGTTAATATACAGATTTTAAAGGAGCTAAATTCTGTACAGTGTTGAGGAAGCAGAAAGTGGCCAGGTTGTTTGAAAGAATAGATTCTATTTCATCTGCTATTATACAGTGTTAATGCATTCAGTCATCTACACCTGCCCAGAAAAAATAGTGATAGAGCAATTGTCACGAAGAAAATGGGCTGTGTTTTGTTAACACTCTAAGAAAAAACATTGAACCTAAGTTAGGGTTTCTTGAAGACCCATTCAGTAGATTTAAAATTAGTGGTGTAACTAGAAGTAATGGAGTTGGTGACTATTTTAGTTCTTCTCTAAAAATAAATGAACAGAATTTTATTTATTAAACACTTATTTAGACAAAAATCCAAGTTTTGATCATGTAAACCATGTAGAACTATCTGTTGTGGAACTAAACTATTTTCATCAGACTATATATTGTTATATAGAACCATAATAAAGTGCAACATCATTAAAAAGAAATGTTTTGCTAATACATTAAAAGTAATTCATTAAATTCATTAAAAAAATCTAACAAACATAAACACATGTCTTAGGGCTTAGGTATTTTTTGTTCTATATTTAGAAACCTTATGTACCTGTAATCCATCATGTAATTCAGTATGAGCCTATCTTAGTTATAATAAAGATGTTGAACTGGGCACTTACACTCTTTTCATATTGTGGAAAATCTTGGTATTTTCTCTGCGTTGAAAACCTGTTGGTAAAGTGGATGGATCAGCATGGCTTGAACTTTTATTGCACAGAATGAAATTTCTCCACTAGAGAGCACAGTTTTACATCAAGTCTTCTCTCTTCTGTGCAAGCTCTTACTCCATTGTGGGGTTTGGTGGTTTTTTGAGTTTGACTGAAATAAAATATAGAAATAATACCAAATGATCAAATTTTTTAATCTATATTGTAGGCTGTGAAGACCTTACATCAAGACAATCAAGAAATATTACAGCTCTGACTTTATACCATTTTATGGTTTCTTTTTTTATATCAGAAGTAAAATAACTTGCAAGCAGAGCAGGATCAACTGTTTTTCATGTAGTCTGGCAAAGTCTTAGCACTGTTTGCATCCTTGGGAAAAAAATCTGGGATGGGGAGGTATTTTCAGTTCTGGCTATCTTATTCCTTGATGTTCCTGCTAGGCTTTACTGACTGTCCCATAATACTGCCTACACCTGTGGTCAGTATATAGAAAATATATTTGTCTTTTTCACAACCTAATATGTCTTTTTATCTCCTGCAGAGCAGCTTTATACAATTATAGGGTGTCAATGCTATGCTCCAAGTTAACCTGTGGTATGATAACTTGTAACCCACACACATGGTACTATGCCTTTGTGTGCTGTTGCCATATTGGACTACCTGGTGCTGTTGTAGCTTCCACTCTGTATAGACAAAAAATATTAAGAGATTAATAAATACCCTTAATCTTACAATGCCAGCAAGAATAAGCACAATTCAACAGTGTCAAATTCCATGTTAATGAAATTCATTATATGTTACTAAATATGGTATAACTGGAAAAAGAAACTCCAGTTTGTCAGTGAAAGATGATTAAATGGCTGCTCCTGACCATGTTTGGATCTACTTTGCTGTCAGCACTGTGACACTGCCTTGAAAAGCCAACAGTTGAAGATAAGAAAATTTTGCCTGTCTTTCATAATCACTGTGGAACCACAGGAAGAAAACAGTGCTGTTTTACAGTGGTGCTAAGATATTCTCTGGTGAGTGGGTTCCTGTAAGGCTCCCAGATACCTTCTGGTTAATGCTTGAAATCCAAAATTTTAGTTGCTTACCTATAAAAATGAAGTCCTGAGTGCCTAAAGAGATGCTGTGAGTGGTTGGTGCCTGGATTTCTTCAGATAAACTGTCCTTCCTTCATACACAAGGGTTTGGCTGACACAGAAGGCCCAAGGTACTTACACCAGTAATTTTCCTGCTAATATTCATGTGGTTACAGAGTATCTGTAAAAGGTTTCTCATCCTGTACAGAATAGCTCCTCTGTAAGAAGTGGCCTGTTGGACAGTTGTTTCCTCAACAGAGGCTTAAGCTGTGGAGTAAAACTTTTCATCACACACAGCCCTGAGCCAGTTTTGTACTTGCTATATGAAGGCATAAAGTCCCCTTGTTATTGCTTAACTCTTCCTACTGCAGGGAAGGTGTTGAAGAGCTAACAGGGTGATCAGGAGCTACAGAAAAAATGAGGTATGGAAGTGAGGGAGATTTAGCCACAGAGAGGCAATGTGGTGCACATTAATGAGAAAGGAGCAGGGAGCAGAACACGCTCATGTTGACGTTTCTTATCTGCAGTGCACAAGACAGCTTTGATATCAGTTGGAAAATACCCATAATATGTGCATAATTAGTATATGGAGGAAATTATGCACTTAAATGCATGACTAAGCTGGGACTTTGAGACACAGATTGCCAATATGACTTTAATGAATGGTAGTATCCTCTGCCTGCAGTGGCTTACAAAGCTGTTTTCAGAAAGTACAGAGCCACCCACAAAGGTAGCTCTGGTTTCAACAGTTGCAGTCTGATGTCACATTTATGTTTCAAAGTCAAGAGGGCTTTTTCTCTTTTTTTTCCTGCTGTATGTGAGGTACAGATGTTCTAAATGCCAAGGCTTGCTGCACCCAATGGAACACAAACCAAATAAAAACTATCATTCATACAAAATAGCAGCAGTAAAAGGGTATCTGCCTTTGGTCCACTGCACTGTCAAAACTTCAGGGAAACAAACTAGATCCAGCTGATGTTCAGATTCCAGGTAGTGGGAGGATATGGACAGTTTGGAGTGAAAGGTCATGAAGAATTCCTTGTGCCTGAGGAGGTTTGGGTGACAGTTCATTGGACTCTCAAACTGAGATGCCAGAAGGTCACCCTGGCTGTACCAGATTTCCATTAATACTTTTTCTCCTGCTGTTATTTAGAGAATGGAAAAATGAAACAGAATAGTGAAAGCACTTTGAGTAGACAGGGATGTTACTAGTATGTGTTCTTGTGCCAAAAAAGCTCCCAGCTTGAGGTGCTTGATACTGAACTACAGCTCCTGTCTTCACCTGGGAACTTAGAGATGAACAAGCTCGTGACTAAAACCTTCCAGGGAGGATGAGGTGTACAGGCACCCATGGCACAGTGTGCTTTGGCCTCTGCACTGCCTAAGCCCAGCTTATCAAGAGTTGCAGTATGGCTGCTGAACACCTTGTGCTTGTCACTCGTCCCATACATCCTGTTTATTTGCATCACATTAGCATCACCAATATCCTAAAATGGTACCCAAAACCTTAGTTTAAATGGAAGTTCTCTTAACCTAATTTTAATTTAAGAGAGTAGTAATGGCTGGACAAGAACAACAGCTTTTAGGTGTCTGTTGAGACTTCTACAGTGAATTACTCATGAAATCAAGACCACAAAACTGTGTTGAAACTACTTTATTCAGTGAGCCATTTAAATTTTTTGTTGTTATTAAAACAATGTAAATGGGAAGAATATTCTAACAAATTTTAAGTTTCCTCTGATATTTGCATATGAATCTAAACTGAACAAAACCAAGGTTATTATTACTAAGGGTCCATCCTAATTCAGAGGCAAAAAAAAGAGTTGAATTATGTCTTTTACTGTTTTAATATGTATGTTTTAATATATATGTATATATTTAGACCTTCATCTTAAGTAATGTGTAAGGGAATAAGCCATTCTTTTAAACTGAAATTAGTATGATTGCTCTGGCTTACTGAAAAATTTAAAAATGGACTTAAAATCTACATTTAAATCAGTGGGAGAGAATTTAATGTGCTTTTAAAGCTGACATTGGCCTGTACAACTGGATGACTAATTAATTTCATATTTCTTCATCAAAGAGCTAAAAAAAGTGGTTACAGGATTCTTTTATTTTATATATAATAGTGTATTTACATGCATCTGATCTTGCTGGTGCTTAAGAAATAGGCGTACATTTTACATAACTTACCTGAGTCTAAAAATGAATGAAGACTGCCCTAATAACGAGTAATTAGTGAGCTGTGTGTTATTAAAGAGTCATAGATCTGACAAAACAATGGCATTTATTCTAGTCAGAAATCTATTTTTTAAAAATTGATCTAATATATACAAGTTTGAAAATCTGGACCCAACACGAGTTGAAGCTGCAGATTAATGGTGAAAGAAATAGTCTTTTAAATGCAGTTACCCACATTTACCCTTGCACCACCAGGGAGTACTAAAACCTGACTCAATGCCTTTGAGGGTGTGACACAAACTTAACAACGTAATTCAAAATAAGGTTTACAGTGCTTCATTAATGCATGCTAATGAGGCCTTGCTGCATAATGGTGTATGAGTAAGGCTTTCACTGGTTTCTTTCAACTAGTTTAAACATTACCTTGAAAATGCATTTAAATCAGTTCTTCTCTCTGCTGCATAATATTCAGTGAATTAGGGTATCTCTTCCTTGCAGAAATTAATATTTTCTGGTGTTCTGATAAGGCTGTTGGTACATGGGGAAATGTTGTTAAAAATGTGCTTGTACTAAAAAATAATTCTGAAATGCTGTCCTTTGTATGTTTTGGATCAGTCTCTTGCCAGGAGATACAGGTCCCACCGGGCTGTCACACACGTCCCTGTCTCTGCCATGTGTGCCTGTCTCACGGGGACAGCAGGTTTCAGCGACAGTGTTTCCTGTATCCATTTAATGAAGAGGTTTCACGGTGTTATTTTGCTGTTTTGTTCCAGACTCCAGCCAAAAAGCTGTGAAATTATGAGGCACTGAAAGAATTTACAGGATGGAGTAAAATATTTTTTGGTTAAGCTATTTCCTTTTCCTCATCATCTGCTTTATTATTCTATTGCTTACTAAATTTCTTAGAAATATGTGCAGCATTTCTGTCAGTGCTATTTTTTAGTTCTTAGAAATTAATACATGTTAAAAATTCCTTTATCCCTTTGAAGCTTGTGTATTGATCAATGAAGCCCAAATCCCCTCTGTCCTTCTTGTGTGACATAAGTGTTTGATAAGCAGAGTCCAATTGCTTTTGCAATCTTAGTCCTCCAATAATTATGCAATGTTTCTCTAAAATACCTAATGCTGACAGCCACCATTCCACATTTGCCTACCTAGGAAGGAACTATTTTTGTTTATGGCATTTTATGCAAAATTAACAGAATCAAACAATAATTCAAAGTTCACCTATTGGAAGAGCAAATTTAATTGCATAAGGAAATACAGGGAAGGGAATAGAAAAAAGCAGATTGGTTGGGATAAGTACTGAAAAGCCAAGAGGCTGATCATTATGAAAAAACCATAAATTAGCAGTTAATGCAATGGTAGAATTAGGAGAACAGCCCGGGAATTGATGGTATTTTGGATTTCTTTCCTTGTGAGTTAAATCATTAGTGTTTAGAAGTGTGTGTAAGGAGTGGAAAACTGCAGAGGAAAATAAAGGATAATTTCATTATTCCCATTAAGAGGATTTCAATATATGCATAGTATTGTTCAAGCAGTTTATTTTCTGTGCTAATTGTTCTTTAGATTTAGTTTCTACTTTCTAAGTAACTTCCTCCATGCCTGCATTAAGAATTCCATTCCTTAACACTTTTAGGAATGCTTGAGTTACTTGAATGCTTGATGTTTTGGTTGGGATTTTTCTGAGAGGAGTGTTGCTCTTCTCTTCGATGGGAAGAATTATGGTGGTATAGAAAGGATACAATTCTTGGTACAGATCTTTAGTGTCTTACACTGGTTATGTGTAGGGTTATAGTGTTCATTGCAAATAAGGAACTTGAGGTTTAAAACTGGAAAAAAAAGAGAGAAGGATCCTTTAGGTTTTGAAGTAATTCTTCAAGCACTGAATGTCTTCATAGCCTAGATTTCTTCTGC